TCTGAAACATCAACATGCACCACAGTACTAATTTTCCAAGTTGCTGATCTTTAATGTTGCCTGCATCATGCAGCCAGCATTTTGGACTGCTTCTCTTCATACAAGAAGGTGCTCCACAAGCCTTGTGATACCCCAGCTCTGTTATGTAGGCTGCTCACGTGTCACACAAGAGATGCTCCCACAGCACCCTCGAAGAAGCCACAGGGTTGGACCTTCTTAGCTCCAGAAAGTCCACCAAATTAGCATCCACCACAAAGGCAGAGAGGGGTCCCCCATATTGTACTTCAGCATGAAAAACCATTTCAGAGTCATAGCATACAGCCACATTAAACCAGAATAATCTGATGGTGAACTGGAGTTTTATTTCAATCAGGAAGAAGAGAAGAAGCAGCTAAGGCCTTGGATGTGAAGACAGCCGTTCCCATTCACAGCTCCTCCCAATTAAAATGTTTTATATAGATCATCAGAACCTAATGCATCGTACATGTTCCACAGCGTGCAACATAAGGCTGGTGGTCTGTCATGTCTCAGTGTGATGAATGATCTGGTACTTGTCTCTCTGGTATAAAAGCAGGAGAAGCTTTGAGACAAAGAAATAAAGGCCAATGCATATTACACATCTTACAGTGCTTAATATCATCCCTCCTGACACACACCTCTGAAAACAGTTAACATCACTATTTCTCTTTTATTTTGAAAGTGGATTTCAGCATCAGTATCCTCCAAACCCTTGGGAGAACTTAATTTAAAGCAGAAACAGGAACATAAAGCATTTGGCTACAACAATGCCATACCAGCATATCATAAGAAAAATAAGTGACCTTCCCTTTTGCCTCTGCTGACAAACAGACACACGTGAAGCCACTTGCAGGCCAGGATGTTAGTGTGATTTCTGGAAGACAATCTAATAAATAAAGATTAAAAAGAGTTTTAAAAAAGCAAAACAAAACAAACCTGACTGCTGATTGCCAGAACTGAAAAACCTGCCTTTCCAAATCAACTAATGGTTTGGCAAGCCTACATGAAAGGCAGACAAAGAAATAGCATCTTTTCCTTTTAACAAGGAATCTGCAGTAAGGAAAAGAAATCAGAATTGTATTGATTTCCATAATGCCATCTCTACAACTTGACAAACTCAGTCAGCTGCTAATGCTAATTCACTGATGCTATGGAGCCTTCCCATATAATTATACACCCTCCACTCTGCTGAGCCCCAGGGCGCTGTTTCTAACTTTACAGAGGACCACTGCACCAAAAGTAGAAACAAAAAACAAAAACAAAACAAAACAAAAAACCCTCTTTTATTACCCAAAGCAAACTGCAAACCAAATTTTGCTTATTTAAATGAGAAGTTAGAGAGATTTGATTTTTAAGACGGGGAATAATCTGCCGTCTACATTTTCAGATGTGATAACATGACAACCGATTCCCATTTAAACTATCCCCGCCTCTATTATTTTTCTTCCTAAGAGTACAGAAGAACACAACATACAAATATTGCAACAATCGTGACTTCTAGGGAGAAATTCTAAAATCCTTCTCAGCTCAGAAGGGTTTCAAGAGGGTGATTCAGAATCAGACATGGAGACTTTTGTGGATGTCACTACAATTAACATTGTAAAAAAATTATAAACTGTTACCATTGCTACAGGGGTGTATATTTCAAAGATATTTTCATTAAGTTTTTCTTTTAAAAAGACAACCCTGGAACACCTTCTAAACCAAATTTAAGGAAAATATCTTCTCCAAGTCTAAAATCAAAAATGTCCTAAATATTTAATGAAGTAAACTCTGCTATTTTTCTCCATTTCTCAAAAAAAATTCGAGCAGGAAGCTCCAGTATATTTTAGTGAGTTTCATTCAATTAGGGATAGCAGAATTTGGCCCAATTGATCCTAGTACTGTCTGTCTGGAAAAAAATGTAATGGAACTCTGCAGTGTAAACACCCTCCCTGAATGACTGTACCCAGAGTCCCCTTTCCTGCTCCCCCTGTTTGCCCTGCCTTGATATTTCAGATCCAGCCATACTCGGTTCACTACATCCATCAAGATTCAGTGTGCCATTCCAGCTAATGCTACTTGATTTTGCTATGGCTTCCCATGCATGTATTAACTTGGAATCGGTTAATCTATTTCCTCTGAGAACGGTGAAATGCGTGGATTTTTGTTCAACAAACAAACAAGTTGACAGTATCAATACAGAGCTGGAGAGCCTCTAAAAACAATCTAGTTTGCATAATTAATGTTAATTACAATAACATCTCAATCAGTGACACAAAGGCTTAGCAATGAACAGAGTCATAGAGGAAGTGAAAACATGAACCAAACATGCAAGGATCTTGTCGTGTTCTGAAAGAGTATCAAACAAACTTTCAAGAGATTTATAAATAAGCACAGAAAGGCAGAAGACAACTCTGCTTTGTTAGACATTTTCTTTACAGGCTACTTAGCACAGAGCTTTCTTCTTAGAGACTGTAGTAAGACAGCGGATCTGAGCTATGGACACACCAGATAATATCATTTTTCTACAACACCACATCCAAGTCATTAACAACTGCTGTAAAGAACACCAGCCAAGGGCCTGATCCTTCTGCCAGTGATGTCAATAGTAAACACTTTAACCATGCCATGTGTACGTCTGGGGGGAATTAGGAAAACAACTCCAACTTGAACACCGCATACAGGTGTGGAATCCCACAGGCGCAGAGGAATTTCAGAACAAGATAATTAATTTTTCAACAATTTTTTCCTACTTTCTGTAGCAAAGCTAAACGTACAGAAAACTTACCTGCCCGTTTCACTTGGCAGCGCAGAAGTCTTAAACAGGGAGAGGTTTTGGTACGGTCACTTAACAAAGCAGATTTACATTTAATCCTCAGAAGTTTTCTTCGTGGCCCAAGGAAAAAATAATTATCCAACGTGTTGTCATTTCAAGGAAAGGAAATAAAATAGTTATGAGAAAAACAAGCGCCACTCTACCTCAGCCAGACTGGCACCGTAGTACACAGGCAGTCACAGCAGCATCGCAGGGAGCACTTGCGCAGTGAAGTGCCACTCCGAGTGAGTAAGGGTGGTGTCATCGGGGCTGAGGAGGGGAGGAATCACGATTTGTCACGTCATTACTACAGGGGCCTTCCTCAAAACCTGAGTTTCTTGATTGTTCCTCTCATTAATGCAAATCTGCTCTGTTAATGAAGTTAGGCTGGTGCCAAGCCAGTTGCAGAGGAGAAACAGGCCCACTTTGTACCGATTCAACAGACCGCAGCTGAAGGACCCCTCCCCATAAAGGCAAAATTTAGGAAGTTTTCAGGTCACGTTGGACAAGTTTCCCCCTGGGAAAAGGACTGATTTTCTATTTGATGACAATATCACAGCTGATTTATTTTTGTTTCCCTCCCTCTATTTATAGATAAAAGCAAGACAAGATTTAGTAAAGATTTAATTTTCTCTTGTAACCCTCTGGCCTTCTGCACACACCTGAGCACCCACTGAGTAAAGCCATGCTTTACTATGACTTATTTACAAGAGTGCTTGCCTTTAGAAAGAGAAACTTCATGTGGAGGATTCCCAGAATGATGCTGGCCCTTCCTCTTAACAAAAATTCAGCAGATCTATTCTTCAGATGCCTGAGACAGATGATTTTGGAGCCCTGTGAGGTTTGGTAAACCTTCAATTCAGCAATTCCATACGATATAAATTACAAAGATCGAGCAATTAATATTAATAAAGGAACCCGGCAGAGCACTGAGGCTTTGGATGCTCTGTGCACTGCTGTATTTGCTGGGGTTTTCCACGCCTCTGTTTTATTTTAGCTGCTCTGTATATACAGCACACGAGAACATATACCACATTCATGTTCTAAAAATGCATTGAGGGAAAAAAAAAAAAAAAAAAAGACAAATCAATAGCAGTGAAACAGAGACATAACCATTTCATATCAAGCGCTCCCAAGACTCCAAAACTCCCCAAAGCTGCGGACCACAGCTTCCCCCTTTCCAAACACGCATGTTCCTGCGAGAGAAGGCAGGTAAGAGCCAAACATCCAGGATGACAGCGCGGAGAGGAGGATGGAACACCTGGAAATACAAAAGGTGCTTTCCCCGCTCCTCCAGCGCGGACAGTGCACGGAAGGGTCGCTCCATTTCGGGATACCCTCACGTCAACCATCAGGGGGAAAAAAACCAACCAAAATAAAACCAAATTTATAACCGCCGGCAGCACGAAGTTGGCAACGACGCCGGGTGGTTATAGGGTTATATCTATTTTTCTTTTTTTTGTTTTTCCCCGTTCTTTCGCAGCCCGGCGGGAGGGGAATGCCCCAAGTTCGGAGCAGTTGTGGGCGGCCGCCCCGCACCCTCAGCCCCCTCACAGCCCGGGAGGGCCGAGCCCGGCACTCACCCGCTCCGGGGGCTCCGCGGCGAGGACCGGCGAGGGAGGCGCCCGGGGGACACGCGGGGGAGGGATTTAAACCGCGGGGAGGTCAATGCGAAACGAGCGGCGGGGGCGGCCGTGCCCGGCTCTATCCCATGCCGCCGCGCTGGGCAGGGTGAGCCGGGTGGGCAGTCGGCGGGGAGGATGTGACACGGTGACAAGCGCGGCCCGCCAGCCCTGTGCCGGGGGAGGGGGCCGGGGCAGCCCAGGCAGCGCCGCCCGCCCGCACACGGCATTGACGGCGCTGCCGTGACTCACACACGGGAGTTGGTCACAGGGCGGCACCGCGCGGGGGGAGCGCCCCGCCCCTACCCGCCCGCCGACCAATGGCGAGCCGCGGATTGCTGGATTGGCAGGTCGGGCAGCCAATAGCAGCGCCGCCCGGCCGCCGAGCGGCTCCTCCGGCCCCGCGAGTCTTCTGAGGACACTCCGCCGCCAAGAGCCGGGGGGAGCCCCGCGGGGCGGGACCCGCGCGCCGGCCCGGCCGCCAACCAATCGGCAGCGAGAGTGGGCTTGATTGACGGCGAAGGCGGCCAATGGGGAGCGCGCGGGGGCGCGGCGGGGCGGGGCGGTGGTCGCGCGGGGAGCGGGGGCGGCGGCGGCGGAACCGAAGCTCGGCGGGGCCCGCGGGGCCGGCGCCTCACGGACCCCGGGGACGGGAAGGGCTCGGCCCGGAGCCGCCCGGCGAGAGGAAGGGGGGAGCTGCGGCTGGCCTGTGTTTGACAGGTGTCACGGCTCCAGGTCTCCGGTTTTTTTTTGTGTTTTTTTTTATTTTTTTTTAATTTATTTTTGGTTTTTTTGGGGTTTTTTTTTGTTTGTTTGCATGTTTGTTTGGTTTTTTGGGGTTTTTTCTTTGTTTTTTTGTTTTTTAGGGTTTTTTTGGGGGTTTTTTTGGCTGGTTTTTGGTGGCTTTTTTTTTGGTTTTTTTTTTTTTTTGGCTTTTTTTTGTGTTTGGGTTTTTGGGGGGTTTGGGGGTTTTTTTCTTTATTTTTTCTTTTTTTCTTTTTTTTCTTTTTTTTTTTTTTTTTTTTCTTTAATTCTGACAGATTTTTAGACAACAAACCGCATCCCAGCATCTGGCACGCCTTCAGAATTTTTTTGTGTGTTTGGGTTTTTTGGGAGGGTTTGGGGTTTTTTGGTTATTTTTTCTTTTTTCTTTTTTTCTTTTTTTTTTCTTTTTTTTTTTTAATTCTGACAGATTTTTAAACAACAAACCGCATCCCAGGATCCGGCACGCCATCAGAATTTGTCCAGATACATGAAAAAAAAATTAAAAATAAAAGAGCAATAGCACAGCTCCTCTCTCCTGCTGCTGCTGGGGGGGAATGGACAGGTAGGAGCAGCGTCAGTGGTGTAAAAAAAAAGCAAAAAGCGATGCTGATATCACAAATGATTCATATTGGAGGAATTTCTGTCGGGCACGAGGAGGAAGTAATGCCCAGTAGGAGTTTCCAACAAATACTGGAACCTTACCAGCATTTTAATCCCCGTGAATGAGATACTCAAATTGTGTTTTACCTCTTCGTCTCTATGTACAAACTCTGTAAGATAATGAGGTAACAGAAGAAGGGACTACATTGGCATTTTCACAGGCTGAAAAAATACAATTTTGTTTGCTTTAAAAACTTGTTCCGTTAACAGACTACTATAAATAAAGATTTTTTTTCTTGTTTTGACATCCACAGTAATTGAAGAGCTGAAAAATGGTAACCTGCAATAATTTGTTCGTGTTGTTCACTTCAGAAATGGTGGGACTAAATACAGTGTTTTCCTGCTTGCTTGTATTGAAATCCAAGGGAGTTACAGGGGAGTATTCACAGTTCCTCTTTTGAAGCAGGAACTGTTAAATCATACACCAAAAAAGGCTCTCTGATTTGTGTCCCAGCATCTAAGGCCCCATTCTGCCATCCTTGCCATAGTGTCTCACAATAAATCCAGGATGGACAGCACACAAATTGCTCTAATATGAAAGGGGAAGAAAATAAGACCATTAAAAAAAAAAAAAATAAAGGAAGGAAAAAAAAGACAGTGGGGATAAGATATTCTTTTCAGCTAATCATTATGTTTGTAAGTGACTCCCATCTTTGAATTGATAGCAAAAGCAGAGAATTTAGGATCTGTCATCTTTCTCCCCGCTCCTTGCTATTAGCAAGAGGTTAAAATACTTGCAGGGTTCTGCAGCCTTCAGCAGTGCTCACACTGACTCACTGACACTGCACTAAAGAGGGCTTTGCATCAAGTCCTGTGCAATTTGGCAAACAGAAGGAACAGAGCATTTGCCAGTCAATGATAGATTAAAAAAAAAAAAAAAAAAATATATATATATATAAAAACACACACACACCCCTCTTCAAAGAACTGAAAAAGGTGTGAATCTCAGGGCAGATAATTTTCTTTTTGTAGCTGTACCTTCTTTGGCAGCAATAATCTGACAGAATTGAGACAGAAATTGAGTCTGTGAGTTTGGTTGCTTGTGGCTGTACATGCACAGGGGCTTTGCACACTTCCAGAGCCAGCAGCCCGGGGAATATTTCATATTTCATATCATCACAGCACTGCAGCTTTCCCAATATGCAGCAGGTTTTTTTCTGGGCTAGCACTGGCAGGGAAGCATTTGTATGAAGGTTTTTACTTTTGAATTCTCAATTTCACAGCTACAGAGAAAAGTTTGAGAATGCAGCCTGCCTGCCAAAGGTGATTTCTCTCTGAGGTGCTTTTGCACGTTTGGCTGTTTAGGATTTTGCTTGCTAAGCTGCTGTTTAGTTAGACTGGGCTGAGAAGTTCCAGCACTTGTACCAAAGTGCTTCAGGAGTGCTCACAGGTGAGGATCAGCTCTGCAGGGACAGTCGGTGTCCTGGCTGGGACACCCAGCAGCTCTGCCCCTGTAATTTGGGTAAAATGCAGGAAGTGTCTCATGGGTTTGGCAGAAAATACAGAGCAAAAGGAGCTCGGGCAAGGAGATCTGCTGGAGGTCCCCTGAATCTCATGGCTTTGCAGTTCCAAACTGATCTCTCCTTGCTCACATCCATGCACATCCCAAGCTGTCAGAAATCTTTGATCCCTTTGTTTCTGCTGACATAACTTCACTTCCAACTGCACCATCCAGAAAGTGTGTATCACGTTGAGGGGAACAATTGCTAAAAATATTTGTTCTTCTGAGCATAATTGAGATTATTTTGTTGATAGATTCACACAAAGACCTTTGGAGCCTGGCTTTTTTACTGCACCACAGCTGTTTACAAAATAAGATTGTTTAGTTAGTTATTGACCTTAGGGAATACCTTTAAAAACCTGCAAATACTCACTTTTAAGTGAATAAAAGCAGTGAATTTCCTTCATCTGTGTTTACTTTTTGAACATATTCCCATCAATTAAATTAGTGGCTAGAAATGTTTATGGAAAGATTTTTAAGCCCATTTTAGAGGGTATTCATGGAAAGCAAAATTTTATCTCAAAACCACAGTCATCTTACCAGGTGTTAATTGATATTCTGGGAATGCAAACCAGTATTACGTGTCTGATTTGTTCAGGATTCGTAGCTCTGCTGTTTGTATCCAGTCTTGTCTCCTTTTCTGCCATGCTGATTCCTAGTCCTCTGCTGTGCTGGGCATGGAGAACTGAACATTTTATTTGTTCACTTCACACCTTCTGCATTTCCCTCTTGAACAGAGGGCTTCTTTCTTGAGCAACAGTGAAACTAAACCACTATCACAAAGCAAACTTGGGGCCCTGGAATATAAAACCACTCCCTGCAGTATTTAAATTCCTTTGGAAACCATCCTCTGCCACGGGCCTATAAACATTGTCCAGCTGCAATGAGTATATAGATTCTTGGAAACCATCTGTATTTAGCAAAGAAATAACAATACTGTGTGCTGAAACAGTCATAATTGCCATTTTATACATTTCATTTAGATATTGGGTGCTTCTGATCCTTTCTCTGTGAAGTAGAGCTGGGAACATAGGTATACCAGTGTAATATGCCTACTTTTTTAAAAATTACATTCATCTTTCTAAATAGTTATATGAAAAGCATTGGATTTATTACAGGACAAACAGTTTGTGTTGTTTGACAGATTGAGATTCAAGTTTAATATCATTACTACCATCACATAATCATGCTCATGTGCATTTTCCAGAAGTTTAGCATCACATTCCCAATCCCTTTGCTTTGCAAATGGCCAGGAGAGAAGATCCAGAGCTCTTGTTGCAAGAAAACAGACCCTCCTTTATCTAAAGGCAAAAAAATCTGTAATGTTTTATCCCTAAAGCATGCCATTTATACACATTTGTAAGCTGCTCTTCACCTTGGACTGTGTTCTTCTATTTGCTATAATGTTTTCATCTGTCCAGTGTCTGTCTCCCCACACAGCACTCCCAAACACCAACTTCTCCCATAATTTTAAAACTCAAATTACTTCACTATTATCTTGTAAATGCTTCTGCTCACACAGCTTTATTGCCTGGTTTACAAACATTTACAACCTAATCCATGAATGCATAACACACTGAGTTACTTGTATTATTCCACTACCAGAAGCCACATGACATTTACTATATTAAAATACAACAGTCCAAAGTTTGAGCGGCAATTTAAATATGGAGTTTGTCCTCCTGCATATTTATTGTAGAAATTAGCAGAATTTTATGTAGAGCTCTGAAATGCCTAATGGGTGCAAACTTCCCCAGCCATGAGTGCCACCTGCAGCATCTCAGCATGACCAGTTCTCATCTGACTGCAACCCATCCAAGGCAGACCTGTGTGGGTTTTCCTGCTTAGGAATGCAGTGGCACAGCTGCAGCACTGGCAAATATACCATAAATGATAGCAGTGAATCAAGCACATTCCTCTGTCAAATACCAAGGGTCAGGTACTTGTAGCAGGGTTGCTTTTGTGTGGCCCATGAAAACGAGTTTTACTTCTAGGAAACTCCTGGTAAGAAAATCTTGCACACAAAAATCAGAGGAAACAAAGCTGCATGTGGACCAGGATGCTGAATTCAAGAGTAAGTTACATCTTATGAGGTTTTTGTCCAGCTCAAGTTGGAAGTCCCTCAAAGTCGGGGTTTTATTGTAGGAGAACTCCCAGACATTTATTGTGCGTCATGACCACCTTACACATTGATGCTGGCAGAAAATGAGGTGTAAATGAAAGGAACAATTCTAGTCATATGGCAAAAATGCTTTCACATTTTAATTGTGCTGCAGAAAGGTCAAGGTTGGACCTTTGTCTGTGGAGGGATAATTTGCTTTTATGGTTTATGAATGTGCCTCTCCAAAACTGAAGAAGTAGGAACTAAGGAATAAATCAAAATTTTCCTGTGCAGGTTGTTGCTTTTGATCTGCTTTTAAAACAGCCTTCCAGAGGCATCCTGAAATTTTACTGGCTTGAACACTGTGAAGTTCTGTGAAGCCTCTAAAGGAACTGCATAGAAGGAATAAGAATTTCCTTTCTCTTACCCAGTTTTCAGTCCCACACATCCCACATGACCTGCTCATGACACAGCTGTGAGTAAGACACCTATAGCAAAAGTGTCATTCACATCAAGGTTTAGAAATGGGATCAGAAAGTTACAAAGGGACAAGTTTGTCAAGAAAAAAGTAGAATGCTCTTGGTTCTGTTGGCCAAATGTTAAGCACCATGCCCAGGTTCAAGTGAGTTTCCTGTATCTTCATTTCGATGAGCTACAGAATCACAGAATGGGTCAGTGTTGCTATAGGACACATGAAAGCACAAAGTGAGCCACCTGCTACTTTGCAAGGTAAAAGAGAAAGTTTATTTTCTGACTCCAACTTTTATACTTTTCCAAAGGTGACAGTGGATTGGAGAGTGAATGGGCCACCTCTCCAAAGACAAACCAATAGTACATCAAGTCTCTCCACCCACGTGAAGGAATGTAAAACAATATGTTATTTACAGAAACTGTGTGGGAAAGTTTTCCAACAAAATGTAAACTCAGAAGACTTTAGAAAAACTCAAGAATTAGGGCAACAGGTCAGGTTGGAGAAGACCACAGCGATCAGATCCAAACTCCCTGCTCAGGCAGGGTTGTCCCAGAGCACACAGCACAGGAGTGTGTCCAGATGCTTCTGGAATATCACCAATGTGAGAGACTCCACAGCCCCTGTGGGCAATCTGTGCCCGCGCTGGGCACTGCCCAGGGAAGTTCTTCCTCACGTTCAGGTGGCACTTGCTGAGCCTCAGCTCTGCCCGTTCCTCCTGTGCCACTGCCCAGCGCCCCAGCAGAGCCTGGCCCTCCTCTGGCCCCTCCTGCAGACACTGCAGCCATGGATCAGGCTCCTCTCAGTGTCTCTGCTCCAGGGAACAGGCCCAGCTCCCCCAGCCTCTCCTCAGAACTCCAGTCTCTTCATCACCTCTGTTTCTGCTGGACCAGAAGCTGGACTAAGCTCAATGTCTCTTATAGGAGCAGAGCCCTGAACTGGACATGGTGAATGCAAGCAATAATAATAAATTTGAAAATCATACTGCATTATCTTTGGGACCAGCTCTTTGCAGCTGGGTGTGCCATTCCTCTGTGAAGAGAAAGACCCTGGCCCTGCTATTTTTCTGCCAGTGTTTCTGCAAGCCTCAGCCCTCTGGGGATGTGCCTGGAGTTGGTGTGGACATCCTGCCCTGCAGTGGGACAGAGCCCTGGAGCCTGCAAGTCCACAGAGA